GTATGCCAAAAGAAGTATCAATTAGTGAAAAGAATGATTGTGTTGATCGTGTTATTAGTGAACTTGGTCTTGAAGGTTGTGCTAATACACGTGTGGGTACAGAATATCTTCGAGGTATCTCTGGTGGTGAAAAGAAACGAACTTGTATTGGCATGGAATTAGTTTTATCACCTAAGATCTTGTTTCTTGATGAACCAACAACAGGCAAGACTATATAAATCACCTATGAATTGTGTGCACTTGCGTTCTTAACGTCAATGCTTGTCTAAGCTGGATTATAATTACCTAAAAAAGTATTGGAGTAGCTTTTTGAATCTAAAAGTTCACCATTCTCAATACTCATATCGAGGCTATAGCATTAGATTCTTCATCTAGAAAGAATAGAATAATAACACATATAATCAGGAAAAAAATCATGAACTTTTTTATATAGATCAGTTAGACGGTATTTAGTGACTAATCTAGTATAATCATTAATAGAAGAAAGAATCAGTTCGATCTATGATACACTAGTATGAGTTAGAATGAAGAAAGCAGAAAATAGATAGATAGACATTCAAACTTCATTGATCAAATAACCATTAACAAAAGGAAATTTCGTATTCATTCTATGACTATTGAAGAGAACATTATGCTGCAATTGTATTTATTCAGCTCTAATGTATATACAATGTATGATTGTGTCATTGATAGGACTTGATGCATCAACAGCAAGTAATGTTATGAATTGTCTCAAAGATCTATCCCGACGAGGACGTAAGTGTTATTTTTCAATCATTGCCACTAAAAAGATATAAAAATCATATGTTTTGCTAAATTCTAGGTACAGTAATCTTTTCTATTCATCAACCACGCTCTTCTATCTTTAAAATCTTCGATACAGTTATGTTTATGTGCAAAGGTCGATGTGTTTATCATGGTTCAATTAAAGATGTTATTCCATACTTTGCAAGGCATGGATATCAATGTGAACCATATGAGAATCCAGCTGATTATGTATTAGATGTTTTAATAGATGTTAGTCGAAAGCCAGAAATACTAATAAGATTGAATAATCTATACAATATTACCCATGTAGATCTGTCGGTACGCGTCCATCGACAAGATAGTTCAATCAGTCATGAAAATATTGAGCATGAGCGACGAAAATATAAGGTTAAAGCAGCTCGTTCAGTGGGAACAGAAATCTTTTATTTGTCACAGAGAACATTACGTAATGCTATGCGCAATCCAGCATTAGCATTATCACAAACTCTTGCTTCTATTATTATTGGTTTGTTAGTTGGATTATTGTTCTATGATTTGAAAAAAACGACTGAACCTGGTGTTCAAAATCGACTTGGTGCAATTTTTTTCATTGTAATTAGTCAGATTTTTAGTAACTTGACAGCACTTGAACC